ACCATGCTGTTGAAAGTCGAGCCCAAGAGGGAAAACTCAAAAAGATGATACGATGCCCTCGAAGTCAAGCCTAAGACGCAAAACTCAATGAGAATCTACGATGCCACTGGAAGTTGAGCCCAAGAGGCAAGACTAGATAGAATGAAACGACATCCTTGGAAGTTGAGCCCAATAGATAAAACTCGATGGGGAGCTATCACGCCCCTAAAAATCGAGCCTAAGAGGTAAAATTTGATGATAAGATACGATACATCTGTAAGTCGAGCCCATGAGACAATACACGATGGGAAGCTCCCATGCTTTTAGAAGACAAACCCAAGAGACGAGGCTCCATGAGAAGATAGTAGTGGACATGGTCCTCACTTAAAAGACTCTAAGAGAGCAAATGGTTGACAAGGTCTCTACTCGAATACCTCATCATGCCACAAGCCTCAGAAGACATATATACATCAAAGATCTCAGAATGCTACAAGTCTTTGGAGGCACAGATACATCGAAGACCTTAGAAGACTACGAGCCTTTGAAGTCACCAGTGCATTCCAAGCTCCAAGGAGATATAAGCTTGAGAGGCACAAGACTTAAAAGATACACACCTAAAATGATACAAATATCAAAATGCACAAGTTTAGAAAGATACATGATTTTTATATATATAAAGTGCACATGTTAGCTTTAATTGTAGAATTCCACATGATTGAGAAACTGGAATAACCTTAGAAACAACATCAAAGACGTACAAAGAAATACATTATCATATACAAATTTCACGTCAGACAATTGAATGGCTATAAAGACAAACAAATACTTGTACGAGCCCTACAACAAACCAACTCATCTTCGAGTAAAGTCAACACTGTCTCTCCAAAATTTCAGTACTTCTACTGATATTCAAGGGTCCCCAGGTATTATCACCACAGGAGCATGAAAATCTCACAATATTATCACCTAAACATTAATACATACATTCATCTTCACAAAAGAATAAATCGTTAGTTAAACTAGCAAGTTTCTTCTGCTTCCAGCAATGAGATTACAGATCCTCCGCAGAAGAACTCCACTCCCAAACTGCGCCATTTTCAGCATCATTTTCGCCTTTGGATCCAAATCCACCCTCTTCCTTTCTTCAATTGACATTCCAAATTCTCAAACGAGGGGAAGGATCTGAAATCCGGGAAGCCCCCGGCGACTCTCTGTCGTCGAGAGTCGAGAGGCTTCAGTGTGGGGAGCCGATTATCTCCGCCTTTCAGAGCTGGATGCGAGACGGATTCGCCGTTCACCGAGGGCAAGTGTTCCACGCCATCAATCGGCTAAGGAAGCTCCGTTTGAACAAAAGAGCGCTCCAGGTTAGTTGCCCGCCATCCGTTCGATCAAATGTCTGAACCGGAAGGGGATGTATGGAAACGGATTTAGGCAAGGATTTATGTCGGATGTAAGCGAAATCTTGCCAGACGGTGCTGATATTTAGAAATTGGTGCTGTTAAATGGGAAGATAGAGACAAATATTTGCTTACATTTCATTATTCTGATAGTTTCATATAGTTCCATCATCAGATCGTCATCATGAAAATTTAGTTTTCATAAAATCAAATGTGCTTAAAAATTTCACTTTTTTTCAGTTCATGGAATGGATTATGAGGGAGAGGCCTTATAAATTAAAAGAACTAGACTACGTTTATCTGTTAGAGTTCACTGCCAAGGTTCATGGCATCTCAGAAGCCGAAAGCCTCTTTCTTCGAATGCCCCGAATCCCCATGAGTTTCACAATGAATTGCTCTACAACAACCTCGTCTTGGCCTGCTTAGATAAAGGCCTAATAAGACTTTCTCTCAATTACATCCAGAAAATGAGACAATTATCTCTCCCCATTTCTCCTTATGCTTACAATAGATTGATTATCCTCCACTCACCTTCGAGCCGTAGAAAAAGAATCCCCAAACTCCTCAAACAGATGAAAGCGGATGGAGTTCCACCACACACATCTACTTACAACATTCTCCTGAAAATCGAAACTGACGAGCACAACATGGAAGGTCTTTCGAAGGTTTTTAATGAAATGTTACGCGCCAAAGTTGATCCGAACGAGATCACATATGGAATTATGGCCATGGCTCACGCTGTAGCGAGATTGTACACAGTCTCGGAGATGTATGTGGAAGCCATTGAGAAGATAAAAACTGGTCCACATTGGACGTCTTGCTCATCTTATTTGGCTATCTGAACAAAGAAGATGAGCTAGAGAGGACATGGAAGCTTGTTGGAGCTCTTCCTCATGTAAGATCCAAAAGCTTTTTAATCATGATTGAGGCATTTGGAAGAATGAAACGTGTTGATAGGGAAACATATTGATAGGGCCGAAGCGATATGGGAGGAGATGAAGTCGATGGAGTTGGTGAAGAAGACAAATCAATATAACTCCATTATTTCTGTGTACTGTAGGCATGGATTGGTAGACAAAGCGTCAGCATTGTTTGAAGAGATGCGAGAAAGTGGGTGCGAACCGAACGCGATAACGTATCGCCACCTCGCGTTGGGTTGCTTAAATGCTGGTTTGGCTGAGGAGGCTTTGAGGACTTTGGAGTTGGGAAGAGATGAGGAAGTGAGCTCTCGGGTGAGGAGATCCACACCATGGCTTGAGACCAATCTTATGTTAGTTGAAGCTTTTGCTGATATTGGTGATATAATGAATGCTAGGAAATATTTTAGAGTTTTTAAGGAGACGAAGTATTGTAGATATACTTTTGTGTATAATAGTCTTCTGAAAGCTTATGTGAGGGCCAAGGTTCATGAGCCTGAATTTCTGGGAAATATGATACTCGCTGGAGCTAGGCCGGATGCCGAGACTTATAGCCTTCTGAGAATTCTGGAGGAATTTAAGGTTTAATGTTCTTTTGTTGTATTTCCTTGTAACAATTACATAACAATTATCATGAACAGGTGTTGCAATTTGTGATCAAGTAAAATGTGCTACTTTCTAGAAAGTATTACAAATATATCCCTGGACATATGTGGCATTTTTTATCACATTTAGTTGGATTAATGAACCAAACGGATCAAACTAAAGAGAATTGGCTTTGATTGATCTTCTCCTTTTTCACAGACAGATTGTTCAAGGGGAAGATAAGGGAAGTGATTGTTACAACAATATGTTAACTTTTGTCTATTATTGCATTGTTGTTATTGTGCAATTTCTCAAGCAATTTTTTGAATTTTGTGGCATCGTATGTGAAACGCAAATGCTGTTTAAATTAGACTCATGATATCGAGATCTAAATGCGGATGTGTTTTATAAATGAGATATTTACATAGATACCACTCAATTCTTATGTACTACATTTATCCAACACATAAACTTTAATTTTTACATACATACCACCTTAACTATGCATGAAAGAAGACTTGGCGAGACTGACAAAAGCACAAAAAATGTACTACAAAGATGCTGATTGAGAACCAAGTAGCTCTATTATAGAAAATAGTATTATCTGCTTAGCCCCATCTGTTCATGAAATCTGTACAACTGTTAACATACTCTTCAAAATTTCAATAATTTTTTTTTTTTTTTTGTTAATGTTTTTTCATTGGAATATTTGCATACATGCCACACAATTCTTAGCTTTTTGCATATCTTGAATGCCTAAACTTCAATTTTTACATATATGACATCTTATCTATGCATAAAAATATATATTTATTTTTCTAAAAATTAAAAATGGCGGTCTTTCTGATCTGATATGAAAGATTTGGGTAAAAGATTTGGGTAGTATTGATATAAAAAAAAGGTAAAATTTATGAGACATGCAAATATATAGCAATTGTGTGGTTTGTATGTAAATGCCCTTTTTTTTTCCATTAACTGGCATTACCAATGTTATAAGGGGGGTGTAGAGAAATTAAGGGGATATATAAAGGACTTTTGGGTATTCATTAACTTTAATCAATTAAAGAAGATCTTATGGAGGAAGACAGCTAGAGAGGAAGGGAGTATTGCCTTCCTTATTTGTTTGTTTAGTTCTGTACAGGGGCATTTACATACCACATAATTCTTATATACTTCCATATGTAACACCCAAAGCTTAATATTTAAGGACTATCACCTATTTTTAAAAAGTTTAATACACATATTCATGTATAAATTTGTCACACCAAAATCTTATAAATATAAATATACAAATTTTGATGTTATACATGTAAATAACAAAAATCAATAGTTAGAGTACTAACAAGATTGGTCCCATGAGAATGACACCAATCTTTCAAACTCCAACTTTAAAGCAAGAGGTAATTTTGTGGAACTCAGGTATAGGAAAGGTAGGGTAACATGACCGTCAGTAATTGACAATCCAAGCGTGCAGTGTTCAGACGAAATTTTTTTTTTTTGATATGGACATCAAAACACAATATGAAAAAATTGCTCCAATATGAATTCCAACTTTATCGGATACAACAGAAAGGTTAATGTGCAAGGCTTGGAGAGAAGTTTCACAACAACTAGAAGACCAAAATTCAAAGCACACCCTAACAACTAACTTGGGTTAAGATTAATTTAGGTGTCCGGTTGTTAGAGGCCTCATAATAGTCTATCAACATATGTCAATAAATGAACAAAAAAAATCAATCAAAACTCTTAGCCAAGCATGATTTATAAAGTTAGTGTGTAGAAAATTACTTTAAAAACTGCAGGGAATTACAGCTGTTTGCTTATAACCACCACCAATATGTCAGATTCAAAAATGCATCCTTTCAATGCAGATTTTTTATAAAGCAATAAAAAAACAATTCCCCAAACTGAATTATGGTGATGATTTGAAAAACAAAGCAGGTAGAAAGCTGTCTGAAACAACTCATCCCAACAAAAATATAATAACATTAATATTTACCTTCTTCTTGGCCAAACATCTTGTCAAATATTACTCCAAAATTTGCCAAACCACACCAAGTGACACGGTTTCCTCTCTCCAAAAAACAAAACAAAATCACAAAATGATTATTGTTAAAGAAAATAGAATAAAAAACAATGTCCATTCAAGCAATCATTTAACAAAACAAAGAGTAGAAATCAACCAAAGTACCAAACATAAACAACAAAATTTCACTGACAACATAATGCTAGAAGTCAATTCTTAAACAGCTCCCTCTAAAGTGAAATAAAACACAAATATAGAGTTCAATGAGATCTACTGGTCATCAGTGATGCTTCCCTTCTCACTCACATATATACCATCAAGAAACTTTCTGATATCCTTGTTCTTCACATGGCATTTCTGTAATTAAAAAGAGAAATATTAATTATTTCAATTATGCAATATAATATATTATTTGAGGCATTTACCATACATGCCACCAATTTCTATGTATTTAAACATCTAACACATAAATTATAACCTTCTGCTGTATTTGTTCCTTGGCAAGGCATTTATGCTTAAAAAAGGAATTAAATTATTTGAATTGTAAAGAAGATGCATTATTTTCTAGAGCAATTTGCATACATGCCACCCGATTCCTCTGCATTTACATATCTAACACCTAAATTATACTTTTTTTTACATTTATACAACCCAAATCTTTCGTATCACCTAAAAAACACCACCAGTTTTAAATTTTGAAAAATAAAATACACCTCATACAAAGGTGAGAGATAAGATGGCATGCATTCATGCAAATCCTCCTATTTTTAAAGTTGGTTTGAAGTTAAAGCGAGAGTGATGGACCTGATTAATTAAGGCGGCAGAGCGAGAGACTAGCTCGATATCATTTCCATCAAGGATTAGCTCATCCTTGACCTTTTCAGACCTGATAATGGTCACTCCTTCAAGCATGTCCACCTTTCGAACCTGGAATGAAATAAATATCTATTAACTATAGAGAGATAATTAAAATGTGTACTGCACAATTAAGATGATTTCGTAATGGATTTTGGAAAGATTTTCCGCTTACAATAAACACAAGAATGAGAACTATTAACCGGTGAAAATAATGATCTTCCACAAAAATTCAAATAAAGCATATATTAGCTTGACATCAGATAGCAATGAAGAGATTTTCTGTAAGGAGATAATTGAATTTGAATAAGCTTGCAAGTGCATGTCCTAAATAAATAAGCAGATCATGGTATATTCATGACAAATAAAATATTTTATGCGGCGAATAAAAATGTAATATCGCATTGATTCGACTTATTGCAGTTAAAATTAATATTGCATCTTCGAGACCTCAAACTCTTCCGGAGGGTTATAAATATGCCTGATTTTTCACCCAAACATATCCAAAAGTTCAACACAATTAAGATTATTTGCAGTGGATACAATAGTTCAGAAACTGGGAAGTGAAATAATTAAAGTAAGTTTTTCATGCAACTTTATCAAAATATAGATGGTAGAATCATCTGTTTGAAATTGTGCAACTTGAGAAGAGCCTTGCATAATTTCAAATAGAGACACACACCTCAAATGACTAAGGCGATGTATCAAGCATTATTCTTTCTAAAATTTTTCTTCTTAATCCAGCAAGCCATTCCGCTCAAACCCGCACTCATCTTGTGTACAAGTGATCTCCCCTCTCACAATAATATTCTAGTCGGCCATCACAGCGTAGTTGTTGTCATTGCCATCCATTCCGCTAGCTACTTCCATCAATGTCATTGCCACCCACTGCTTTCGCCACGGCATCTTTAAAATTCACAAGCTTCCCTTTCACGCATACAACAGCCAGCTTTTGCATCAATGCAGCCCCCCGCGGCCTGCAACTTCCGCCATCACTGCTTTCCTCCACCACTCCTTATAGTGCCCAATCTCCCTTCTTACACCATTGCCCTATTGTCACAACGTCACTGCCACAACCACGTGCTGCCCCGCTGTCATCATCCCCTTCTATCTCTACTTTCTCCACCAATTTTCTCAAATAATA